ACCTTTGGGCGCAGGGCGGCCTGCCCATGCGGACGTGTAAAGGCGGAAAGGACCCCCGCGCCGAGTTCCTAGCACCCTGCCTCCCCGCCGGCCTGCCTTCCCCGCACGCGTCCCGACGCGCAGGCAGACGCGAAGCGCGAACTCTGCCCCCTCCCGGCGGAGGCGCCCTGGCCCCGAGGGGCAGGGAGCGCCCAGAAGGCCAGCAGCGGGCGCAGGGAAGGGGGAGCCCCAGCACCTGCTTGGGAGCTTGGGTGAGATCCAGCCGCGAGGAGCCAGAGGACCCGGGACCCTCCTCCTCGGTGGCTGTAGTTGCAGCCCTGGGTCAAACCCATGTGACCTCAGACGCTGGGAGGCTGAGGCTCCTCTGATACATAGCTGATCTTCTTCTCCAATATCTTACATCGTTTAGGGACTCAGTGCACACTTCTAGACTAATTGAACGTCCTTCAACCCTGGTGGTTTACTGGTTACAAGTGAGGCCGCTAACCACAAGGTCAGCAGTTCGAAATCACCAGTCACCCCTTGGGGAGAAAGATGAGGCGTTCTACTACTATAAAGAGTTAGTCTCAGAAAACTCCAGAGGCAGTTCTTTCTACCTTTCTTATAGGGCTGTGATGAGTTGGAACAACTCAAAGGCAGTGAGTTCGTTTCTTTGGCTTCTCCACCTCAGCATCTGAGGGGGAAATGGACTGAGTGCCCAAACTCAGAAAATAGATTCAATTATTTGCTAACTGGGCAGGGCAGTATCAAAGCACTGCCCTAAGCCCGGTTCTAGACATCAAGACTGACCAACGTTGATTTACCTATCTTTTTTTTCTTCTTCAGAGAGCCCTCATGGCACAGGTGATATACTGGGCTGCTAACCCCAAGGTTGGCAGTTCAAACCCACCAGCAACTTTGTGGGAGAAAGATGAGGCTGCCTGCTCCCATGGAGACTTATAGTCTTGGAAACACCTGTGGAACCGCTCCCTGCCCTATAGGGTCTCTATGAGTCCGAATCAACTCATTGGCAGTGGGTTTGGATTTGGTTTTCCTTCTTCTCCCGCAAATCTTAGGGCACCTAGAAAGGGCTGAAGGCCGAGAAAGTGGGGCCAAATGAGCACAAAGGTAAGTTGATTCGTTTGTGCTTTCTTCTGGATTGGGCAAAAAGCTAACCAATGTCATGGAACAAGTTATATAGAAATTGTTCAATGAAAACCTAATCTGCTGGGCAAACTTTCACTGAAAACAAAATAAAATGTTAAACACACAGTATTGCTGTAGTAGAAATCTTTGTTGAACAAACATCCAAAAGTGAAGCGATTCTTTCTCAACCTATCCTCCATCTGGGTCTGGGTGCTTTTGAGGCCTTGTTCTCATCTCTGTAACCCTCCCCAAAGAATTCTGTACTCTTCCGTTTCTGAGAGTAAGTCAGTGCAGCTCGGGGGCTCCAGCATACACATGCATGAGGTCATTCCAAACAGTGTGTTTAGACCTGCCTCCGTGATCAGTGGGGGACTGCAGACGAGTTCTCTCAGTGATACATTTGTCTTGGTCATGTTAGGGGACCTTCCAAAAAAGAAAGTCCAATCAAAACAGTGGCTCCCAAGGAGGTCTGCTGGACCAGTTAAATTCAAGGCAAAGAGGTCTGCTCAGAAGGTTCTCCTGACTGTTTAGGGCAGTGGTTCTCAACCTGTGGGTCATGACCCCTTTGGGGGTCGAACGGCCCTTTCACAGGGGTCGCCCGATTCAGAACAGTAGCAAAATGACAGTGATGAAGTAGTAACAAAAATAATTTTATGATTGGGGGTCACCACATCATGAGGAACTGTATGAAAGGGTCTTGGCATTAGGAAGGTGGAGACCCACTGGTTTAGGGGGATGCCACAGGAGTAATCTGGATAGATGTCCTGCAAAGACATAGGACGATTGTGGGGCTTATTAGGAGGAAGTTTTAAGAAAGTTCCACTGGTGAGAAAAAGGTCAGGAGAGTTGCACTGAGAAGTTTTGCCCCCATTATTATAATGCACCTGCTTATTCTTTGAAGACAGCAAGGGCTGCCGGGTGAGAATGACATTGGAAAGCCTTGCTCCTTCCACCTCACACCGCTGATCACGCCCCTTCAAGCCCTTTCCCCCCTCAAAAATCAAAAGAGCATTTCAAAGGAACATGATCTGAGTCCCTCAAAGTTGCCAAAGCTGCCATGTTGACGTGGTATAAATCAAAGAGCACACAGTCCTTCAGGGAAGGGCTGTTGTTATTGTTAGATGCCATCAAGTTAGCTCCACTTCATAGTGACCCTGTGTACCACAGAAGGAACACTGCCCAGTCCTGTCCCTCCTCACACCTGTTCAGTGCCGCCCCTGCGCCAGTCCATCTTGTTAAAGGTCCTCCTCGTGTCTGCAGCCCCTCTACTTGATCAAGCGTGATGTCCTTCTCCAGGGACCTATATCTCCTCACAATATGTCCAAGCACACAAGACGAGATGGAGTCTCACCGTCCTTGCCGCTAAGGAGCAATCTGGCTGTACTTCTCCGCGAACAGATGTTTGTTCTTTTCACAGGCCAAGTATTCTGATACTCGTCACCAGCATCATAATTCAAATGCATCAGTTCTGCCTTGGTCGTCCTGATTCAGTGTTCAACTTTCATATGCATAAGAAGCCATTGAAACTACCTTGGCTTGGGGAAGGGCTAGAGATGGAAACAGCACCTTCAGAAGTGGATAGACCCAGATGGAGATGTTAAGAAACGATAACTCCATACTTCGATATTTTTATTTAATACAATTTTATATTTTTTATGGCTATACTTTTTTTTACTTATCCTTGTATAATACACCAAATGGTATGGCTCTCTGAGTTGACCTGTCTTGAATTTCTTGTCAGGGAATCCTAGTGGCATAGTGGATTATGTGCTCAGCTGAAAACCTCAAGGTTAGCTGTTCAAAACCACAAACTGCTCTGTGGGAGAAAGATGAGGCATTCTGCTCCCACAAAGAGTACCCGTCGCAGTAACCCGCAGAGGCAGCTGGTTCTACCCTCTGCTAGAGGGTTGCTGTGATGGACTAGATGCCAGTGAAGAGCCGATTGCCTTGGAAGCCACGGTGTTTTGTTTTGTTTTAACTCAAGTTTGACTTTCTTTTTTTCCCCATGAATCCATCTTATTTGGGGACTCTTATAGATCTTATAACAATCCATCATTCAATTGTATTAAGCACACTTGTACATATATTGCCATCATCATTTCCAAAACCACTACTTGAGCCACTTCCCCCACCCCCCCACCCACTGTCGTGAACCCTTGATCAATTATATAGTTATTTTGTACCTTACACTGTCTGTTGTCTCCCTTCACCCACATTTCTATTATTTGTCTCCCTTGGTGGGGGTGTGTTATATATCCAATCTTGTGGGTCAGTTCCCCCTGTTCCCCCTTCTCCCCGCCCACCCTCCTCACCCTCATGGTATCACTGCTCCCACTATTGTTCCTAAGGGGGTTATCTGTCCGTATTCCATGTGTCAAGAGCTCTTATCTGCACCAATGTACGTACTCTGGTGTAGCCGGATTTGTAAGGTAAACTGGATCATGATAGTGGGGAGGGGAAGCATTCAAGAACTAAAGGAATGCTGTGTTTTGTCAGTGTTGTATGCACCCTTGTGCTATATGAATCATCCCTTCCTTTGACCCTTCTGTGAGAGGATATCCAATTGTCTACAGAGGGGCTTTGGGTCTCCACTCTGACCCCCCTCCTTCGCATCAATATAATTGTTTGGGGTCTTCTGATACCTGATTCTGTCAACACCTGTGATCACACAGGCTGGTGTGCTTCTTCCATGTGGGCTGTGTTGGAAAGCCACTGTTTTAACAGGACCTTTTTTAAAAAACAAATGTATTGCTGAGAGGACTTGTCTGTAGTTACCCATCGATTGCAGAGAAATGTTTAAGCACATTTTGTCTGGAATAAAATGGTGCGTCTGAACCAGAACCCTTGTAGCAATACTTTCCCCTGTGTTCTAAGTCTCATTCGTGTCCGCGCTCCTTTTGAGAGTGGTTCTTCCCCTGCTGTGGGATTCCAATGGTAATCCCAGGTGTACATCAGACATGATGCCGACAGAGGCAGACATCAGGCCCAAGCTGTGCCAATTAAAGTTTGTCACTGGCATTTTTTAAACTGGACTGGGAAAGGATGCGAGTTCTCTGTAATGGAAAGCTGCCAACTGTGAGGCCCAAGCTTTTGGTAGCCATGTTGCCTGTGATGTGGGCAGGGTCATCTGCAGCGAGAAAGACAGGCTGACACAAGAAAAGCAGAGACGAGGGGCAGTGTCCTGATGGCCTTCAGGTGCCTTGCTGAAGTTGTTCCTGAGGTCCAGTCAGGTTGGTGGTTCAACCTTCCCCTGGAGTTTGTGTACCAAAGAAAGTCTCCTCGCTGAGACTCCGAGAAGATGTCGGCCAGATACCATGCCCTAGCTAGAACTCGCCCGGCCCCAGCCAGAAGCCAACCGATTGGGGCTTATCCCTGCTGTATTTTTGTTGTGGTTGGCAGCATTCTTGACTCTCTGATATGTATCTTTCTATATTTTTCAGTATGTGAAATCCAGGTTGGGTTAGAGTTGTTGCTGATAGAGACTAACTAGAGTGAGGGTTCCTTGGAGATACGAATGGCAGGGAAGGGAGGGGATACAGGGGAGCTGACAGCAGTGGACAAGAAGGAAGAAACTGTTCTGAAGATGATTGTGGCAGCAACTGTACAACACTGCTTGATATGACTGAACTAGTGAATGGTACCCTGTCTGGATTATGTCCTGAAAACGTGATTTTGGGGGGGAAATTACCAAGGAAAAAAAGGTCTCCTTTTACTCCAACTACTTCCAATTAGGTGTCTATTGGTAAACTTATAGGGAGCCTTGGTGGTGCTGTCACTTAAGCATAGGACTGTTAATCACAAGGTCAGAGGTTCAAACTCATCAGCTACTCTGAGGGAAAAAGATAGCTCCCACAAAAATTTACAGCCTCAAAAATCTTCTATAGGGCGGCTATGAATCAGAAT